CTGCAGGTGATTCCCATGACTCGTTAAGAGCTTGTGTGATTTCAAGGAAATCGCGAAGTGATTTATATGATTCGCCATCGAAGGTTGGAATTGAGCGTAAGCGGCGTATATAGCTTGGCCTGATTTTTGAATCGTCGGTTTGGCAATTACGGTTTTCATCGTTTTCAGAGAGTTGTTCGAGCAGTTTTTGTTCTTGATTTTGGTTTTGAATGAGAGCGTTAAGCATATTGCGAATGTCGAAGAGATTAGACTCTTCATTACTTGTGTGGTTTTCTGAGGTTTGAAGGTTTATGTTTTGTTTCTTATTAGTTTTTGGGATGGCGCCGGTGTATTTGGTATTAGTTTGTGAAACCGGTGCGTTCTGAGAAGGGTGGCCATGATGGCTGTAATCTGCTTGACTTTTTTCGTTAAAGAGTTTGCGAATGTGATCTTTTTCTGATTGCATGTTTTTGAGTTCTGTTTTATAATGCTGTTTTACTTGGGACAATTCTTTTTGCAGTTTAGTTATTTCTTCCGAATCTGGATTTGGGGGAAATTGAAATTGTTGAGGATTTGAAGCGAAAGTTTGGGCCGAAAAGGATGCGGCTCCCAAAGTCTGGCTTGGTTGAGTTGAAAAAGTGAAAGTTGATCGGGTATTATCTGTTTCTACTTGTGAAGTAGATATTGGTGGAACAGGAGAGTTTGCTCTGGAGTTTTCATTTGAGTGGAGAAGAGGCATATTGGAAGAAGTTTGGCTGGCGAGAGAAGTTGTACTTGTAGAAATTTTGCGTTGTATGGTTTTGTTCTTTATAGTGTTTTTGATTAGGGTTTCTTTTTCTTTAATTTTGGTTTTTAGTCTGTTGATTAGTGGAGAAGTAGCTACAATTTGGTGAATACTCTGGAATCGAGTGTTGATATTTCTACCCAGTAGACGATTTAGCTCGTTTTCAAGGGCTCTTTTCTCAATTTTTAATTGTAAAGTGATTTATGGGGAGACTCTTCTTGAGGACGCTTCATGAAGAGAAAATGTGGTAAACGAAGACATATGAAGGTAATTAGTAAAAAGACCACTAATTTTTGGGGAGGTATTTGGAGTTTTTGTAATGGAGTTTTTTTTTTTTTTTTTTTTTTTTTGGGGGGGGGAGGATTTGGTTTGGGGGAAGAGAAATCTGTCTCACACTAATTTACTCTTGTTTATGGTAACGAAGGCTACTATTACGAAGTTTGAACGCGTAAAAAGGAAATGTGGTTACTCACTTTGAAGATTTTTTAAAGGTGTCTTCCACGCAGCTGTCAAAAAGATGTACGAACACGCTTCACTTTTACTCTATTAAACTCAAAAAACTTAACTTTTTTCTTATTTTGTGTTTTATATATATGTATTTTTTGATATGGGGGTCGTTGATTTCACAAATGTTTCACTTTAACTTTTTGATAGTGATAATTTCACGCAAATTATAATATGGAATATCAATTATCGGTGTTTGGTATTAATGCCAATTGTTGGGGCCAATTATTAATGCCAATTGTTGATGTTGATGCCAGTGCCAGTTGTTGGTGCCAATTATTAGTTGGTGTAAATGCCAGTGCCAATTGTTGGGGCCAATTATTAATGCCAATTGTTGATGTTGATGCCAGTGTCAGTTGTTGGTGCCAATTATTAATTGATGTAAATGTCAATGCCAATTGTTGGTACCAATGGTATGATTTGGAGTCGATGTCGGTATCAAGTGTCGGTTTTTGTTATCCAATGCTAGCGTCAATGCTATTATTAATGCCAGTGCCTAGTGCCAGTGCCTAGTGCCAGTGCCTAGTGCCAATGCTAATGCCTAGTGCTTAGTGTTTATTAACTCTTGTCAAATGCCAAGTATGTTTTGTAAGCAGCGCCAGTGTAACGTCCGAGTTGTTTGGAATGAAAAAACTTGTTTTTTGATATTTTTTCGGAGATACTTTTATTTAATGTATATTGTTTATGTTCCGACACGACTGACTCGTTGCTTCTCATGCGAACCCTTATATAGAGAGACTCTTATGTCTTATCTCTCTATCGATTTATCGGTTATCGATAGAGAGTAGGTGAAACGTGTGAGGTGATGTATGCGTGTGCTGGCATGACGTCATATATGTATGAGTGGGTGCGTATGATAAGAATGTGTAGACGAGAGCGTAATGCCGAACGGGTTACAGTATTTATATGAAGGTTAAGCCAATTCTAGGTACTAAAAGTCAAAATTAAAAGTTGTGCAAATGAGTGGAGACACTGAGAAGCCAGTGAGAGTGCTCTCTAAGAACTCAAAACATTCGAGAGTTTAAAAAAATATTGAAAAGTGTCGATTTGGCAGAGGGGCATGTGATTTGAAATCATTAGTTCGAAAGG